GGGGGCGGGTGAGCGAGATGGAGGGCCAGGATGACACCCACGTTTCTGTCCTGAGAGAGACTGGTGGTTATGGCATTTCCTTTAATAATGAAGTTGAAGACACTTGGTGCTGGGTGGAAGAAAGCAGCTGGTTTGTGAGCATTTCCAAGGACTGATGATGTTTGGCGTGAGTGAGAAAGGGGGGCAGGGTGGAGCGCACACTCTGTATGGACAGGGTTGTCATTCCCAGAGACAGAGGCCCCGGGGGGAATAACACAAACCAGGAGAAGAGGCTTCTCTGGCGTTTAATCCCCATTCTAGAGTCCCTCAGCCCACAGATCACATCCTCAGGGCCTGTGCCTTCCTCTGGGTAAGATACCATCTCCCAAGGACATCACACTCAAGCTTCTGCACACACAGGGAATGAAAAGAAACAGTTAGGATGGAAATTTTATTAGGTAAAGAAAAAGTATAAAAGCAAGTATTGCTAAATTGTACAACTTTTTGGCAAAAGCTTTGGCCATTATCTTTGGCATTAAAACTTTAACAGTTTAAGCTACTTTTCTAAAGAATTATGCTAAATGCAAAGAAAAAAATCTCATAACATTACATACTGTGTGATTCTAGTTATTTAACATTTTGAAATGGCAAAATCATAGAAATAAAGACAAGTGAATACCAGAAGTTAATGCGGGAAGGTGGATGTGGCTACACCTGAAACAAACACAACATTGTCAATCAACTGTACTCCAATATAAAATAAAAAGTTAAAAAAAAAAAAGGGCAACATGAGCGGTCCTTGTGATGATGGAAATGTTGGGTATATTCACTGTGTCAGTGTTGTTATCTCGGCTTTAATATTGTACCATGACTGTGCAAAATGCTAGCATTTTAGGAAACTGGGTAAAGGGTGAGGAGATCTCTCCATATTATTTCTTACAGCTGCATGTAAATCTATGATTATCTCAAAAAGTTTATAATGATATCCATTCCTTAAAAAAATAGTTTCAGATACTTAAAAAAGGTCTCTGTGACTGTCACCATGCCCCACCCTGGCTAGTTCTGGTTTAGGAAGCTGGGGCCTGGTCACATTCCAATCTGATCCTCAGATACAAGAGCAGAGGGATAGTCTTATGTTTTTTTTTTTTTTTTTTTTTAATTGAACTATAGTCGATTTACAATTTTGTGTTAGTTTCAGGTGTACAGAAAAGTGATTCAATTATACATACATATATATATTCTTTTTCAGATTCTTTTCCATTATAGGTTATTACAGGATACTGAATATAGCTCCCTGTGCTGTAGAGTAGGTCCTTGTTTATCTATTTTATATATAGTGGTGTGTATCTGTTAATCCCATACTCCTAATTGATCCCTCCCCTCTTTCCCCTTTGCCAACCACAAGTTTGTCCTCTGTGTCTGTGGGTCTGTTTCCGTCTTGTAAATAAGTTCATTTCTGTTATATTTTAGATAGCACATATAAGCGATATCATATGATATTTCTCTTTCTCTGTCTTACTTCACTCATTATGACAATCTCTAAGTCCATCCACGTAGCTGCAAATGGCATTATTTCATTCTTTTTTATGGCTGAGTTAATATTCCATTGTACGTACACCACGTCTTCTTTGTTCGTTCCTCTGTCGATGGACACTTAGGTTGCTTCCATGTCTTGGCTATTGTCTATAGCGCTGCTGTGAACATTGAGGTTGCATGTATCTTTTGGAATTAGAGTTTTCTCCAGATGTATGCCCAGGAGTGGGATTGCTGGATCATATGGTAACTCTATTTTTAGTTTCTTAAGGAACCTCCATACTATTCTCCATAGTGGTTGCATCAATTTACATTCTCACCAACAGTGTAAGAGGGTTTCCTTTTATCTACACCCTCTCAAGCATTTGTTATTTGTAGACTTCTTGATGATGGCCATTCTGACCGGTGGGAGGTGATACGTCGTTGTAGTTTTGATTTGCATTTCTCTGATAATTAGTGATGTTGAGCATCTTTCCCTGTGCCTATTGGCCATCTGTATTCTTTGGAGAAATGTCTGTTTAGGTCTTCTGCCCACTTTTTGTTTTGTTTTGTTTTTTCTTCTGCCCATTTTTAAAAATTTAATTTATATTTTATATTGGAGTATAGTTGATATACAACGCTGTGTTCGCTTCAGGTATACAGCTAAGTGATGCAGTTATACATATACATATAAGCATCTTTTTCAGATTCTTTTCCCATATAGGTTATCACAGAATACTGAGCAGAGCCTTCTGCCCGTTTTTGATAGGGATAGTCTGGTCCCAGGGCCAGGTATGGACTAGCGTCTCTGACTACTCAGAGCGGCCTGCGGGTTGCCTGTTTTCGACTTCCTTGTACCTATTCGTGGAGCACCTGCTCGATGCCACGCCCTGTCCCAGGTCATGCAGACATCACAGTGACTCTGAAATCAAGGAGTTGGTGGGGGCAGAAAGACAACCACAGAACTCTCCTGGCCGCAGAGCCTAGGGAGAGGCTCCGAGGAATGTGAGCCCAGCCAGTGCAATCAGCAGTCCCCTGGGATCCCATCTCTGCCACACTGGCCACAGGCAGTGCCCCTGACAGAGAAGCACCTTTGCTTGCGGGCAGAGCTGATGTCCCCATTGGAAGTTTATACAGAATCTATTTGGATAAGGACCGCAGTTCCATCTGGGATTCATGAAGTTTCTGGTGGGATGAGAACTGGAAAAGAAGCTCAGATCCGGGCTTCCCTGGTGGCGCAGTGGTTGAGAGTCCACCTGCTGATGCAGGTTCATGCCCCGGTCCGGGAAGATCCCGCATGCCGCGGAGCGGCTGGGCCCGTGAGCCATGGCCGCTGAGCCTGCGCATCATGTGATGTATTTAAAATCAGTTTTCTGAACAGAGTGCCCAGGCTTCATAAGACTAGCACAAAAAAAAAAAAAAAAAAAAAAAAAAAGAAGCTCAGACCCTACCCATCCAGGACACTGCGTAAAGTAACAGCCCTGTGTCAAAAACGAGTTTATTGGGAGCTCTCTGCATGCCTACCTAAGATACCTTCTGCAACCAATTTGTTTATAATTTGCAAACATATATGTAGCTCCATGTTATGGAGGGCAGCCATGAGTTTAAATACAGAAATGTCCCTCCCTAGCCCATTTCTCCGCCTGAGGAGCTCTTCCAAATCTCCTGGATGTTGGGGTTCCCATATCTCGTCATTTTCTTCAAGTCCAGTAAACCCCGTAACATCTTCCAGTTACTTTCTGGAACCTCATGTCTGAATTCACAATAGATCTTATTGATGGCTGAAAAAAATAAAGGCAAAAAGGGAGAGTTTGTTTACATTCCTGGGAGGCCGGCGGAGCATCCTCTGTAACTGGGCTCCCAGGAGTGTGGAGGTGTTTCCACCTGAGCCCACGACCTGGAAAGCCCTGTGCCAGCCCAGATAATCCCACAGAAGGGATCAGGCCCAGGGGCCAGGAGGCCAAGGTCTGGCCATGACCTGCTGTGTCTCTTGACACGCCTGTTGCTCATTCATTGCTGGTGCCAATGAACCTGGGAGAAGGAACCAAGGAACCCCAGGCAAGTCAGAAGCCCTGTGGATAAAGTATCTGCTGACGTCCGCCCTGCCCTGCCCCTCTCACATGCCACGCAGCCACGGGCTGTGAGGTGCTCTGGATGGGTAGGCCTCCTGGCATCAGCGCGGGGACCAGGTTAGGCCTTGAGACCTGGGGCAAGTTTTGTAGCCTCTCTGAGCTTCGGATTGTCGTGTTTTAAATCTGTAAAATGGGGGCAGTCTCCCAGAGCTGTTAGAATAAGATTATAAAAAGCACCTGGCATACAGCACGTGCTCGATAAATCTTGACTTTTTTGCCCCTAAGCCCGTAGCATCCCAGCCGTGGGGACCCACTGATCTAGGGTTAGATAAGTATTCCCATCACCCACTCATACTTTCTCTTAAAAACAGGAATGTATAATAAAATAAAAACAACATCCAATCTTTGTTTATGAGCCCCACAAAACT